GAGAGAGAGAGAGAGAGAGAGAGAGAGAGAGAGAGAGAGAGAGAGAGAGAGAGAGAGAGAGAGAGAGAGAGAGAGAGAGGGTTATTGTTTTCTAGAGAGGGTAGGCTTTAATTTTGGGAATAGTTAGTTTCTATAACCACCCATGATGGAGGAGTTATACGGGTGTAACCATATTTCCCACTTCCTACAAAAATAAATAGCAAACAACTTACAATATTTTACAAAATAAGTATTTGCCAAACTTTTAGCCTAATTTTTTTTATGTCCGAATAAATCCAGTCTACTATCTATCTCATATGCGTGGAATATTTTCCCCAACTCTCATCTCGTGCTACTGAGTGCCTTGATCTAAGTTATAAACAATTGGATTTCCGCATAGATCTATTGGATCTCTTGATTGTCGTGCCAGTGCATCGTCATCATTTCTATCATATATCAACTTTTTCGTCTCTCACCGGCCAATCATCGTCCACCCAAGAAATGAGTATCGTCACCGCCGCGCGTAGCCGCAGGAATCTCGCCACGTGCGTAGATCTACTTATATATGTTTCCTTCTTGCAATCTTACGTTGCTGTCAAAGACAAACATGAAACTGCATTTCCAGTGCATGTTAATGTTTGTTTTACATGAATTTGATGGAGACTTCGTAATTAGGACTTGATTGCCAAACTCCTTAAGTAGCTGTTTGGTTGTTGTCGATAAAGTTGTGTGTTTATGACATAACTTGGAAAGTTGTTGTCCACCTCATCAATTTTACTTTTATATTTTTCTTTGTTTGTTTTTTATTCCATCAATTTTACTTTTATATTTTTCTTTGTTTGTTTTTTATTCCATTGGAATCATAAATTGCTTGTTTGGTTAGTAAATGTAACTTTAAGAATCATAAATTGCTTGTTTGGTTAGTAAATGTAACTTTAATTGTTTGTTTGGAAAGTATAAAAAGTGGTTCATACTCAAATAATCATATTAGTTGGAATTATTTTTTATTATTTTTTCCTGACTTCAATGTCGGCTTTCTCCTAAAATCATGTCTTTTTTTATGAAATCACTTTACAAGCCACATCAGCATATGAAATCACTTTATACTATTTTCATAACTACAAACAAACAATTGAAAGTGATGAAAGTTAACATTGGGACCCACTTTTTTACACTTTCCATCCTTTTACATGGTAAAAACATACAACCAAACAGCCCCTAAAACTAGATCTCAATTAATTCTGATCCAGTTCTGTGTCTGATTCAGAGGGAATGTGTATCAAAATAAAACCAATATAGGAAGCTAATCTAGATTTTTTTTTTCCAAACAAAATTTTCCCCAGATGGGTCTAGGATCAATCCCGGTCTCATTTTGGGATGCTAAACATACCCTTAAAGTTTAAATACTTACAAATTTATATATCAAATGTGTTATTTAATTTGAGTTTCATACTCGAAGTTGGTGTTACAATTAGGATAGATGCATAAAAGATGATCCATGAAAATTGCACTAGTTTCATAGAATTTATGATTGTAGACAAATATCCTCAATAAAACGTGGCATCACCAAAAAAAAATCTGACAGGATTTACATCTTCACGCAAATCCTCTTTAATTAATTAATTCATTGCAAACAAATATGACCTTGATGATTATGTTTTTCTAAAATCTGGTACATGCAACAAAATCATGGAAGATGTTGTGCAAAAACCAAATGGCCCTTAATTATTACACAAGTTATCAATGCCTTTGTCAAATTTTTCTTTTTTTCTTTTTCTTTTACTCAAGGAGCTGATGTTACTGCATGGGATAGCGACATATATAGCGTCCTACTTCTTAAAACTTTCTGAGCTGGCGTGACATATAGTTCTCAATTTATTTGTAATTTATACAATTTAAGAAATAGGGTCACAAAAATAATTGGATTTGTTTTTTAGTTGCCTCCTCATGAGGTCTCTTATTTTGTCACTACTAGGTGGGTTCGGTTGTGTTGCTTCTGTAGATGCTAGGTGCGGCCATAGGTAAACAATCTTAGGCAATTTTTACGTTATATATCCAAATTGGTGTAAAGTTCCTATCAAATATAACATTTTATAATAAATTTCGGATAGACAATTATTTTCTAAAAGAAGCAAAAGAAAAAAAAAAAGATTATGAAAGTTCAGCGTCTAAGATAACAGTAATAAGATTTTTTTTTATTTGGAAAAAAACATTAATAATCTATTTTCAGGCTACCTAATTTTCTCATTGTTCCTTTCTAGAGACGTCTTAGTGTAAAATGACATTTATGGTTATTAATTGCTTGTGATTACAAATGATTTCACTCATTAGATGTGCACATTTATGGTTATTTATTGCTTATCATTACAAATGCTTTCTCTATCTTACAGTGATCAGCTATAATCTTTTTCATAATTATCCTTTTTGTTTTCTTAGGTGTTTGTTGCCATCTCTCTTATTTATTGTAAGTATTACTTGATGAATGCGTGGCCCGTAATTTTTTGTATACAAGTCACATGCTAACTTTTCTTCTTTCTCTTCCGAATCTTAATTCCTAATCTTCTAGAGAGGAAATTATTGCATATAAATAACGTTTTCTAATGATCTAATTCTTACTTTGCTTCCTTAAACTAATATGTTTATTTTTCTTAGAAGCGTAATCAAATTTCTTTAGACGAAAAACTCTAAAATTCTTAATTATTATTTAAGATTTAGGTCCCGTTTGACTCTGGTTTTTGGATGGGTAAAAAGGGAAAAAGCTACCAAAAATAAGAGGCGATTTTGGGGGAAAGCTACCAAAAAGCTAACATTTTTGACAGTCTCCCCCCCTCTTACCCATCCAAAAAGCCAATCCAAACAGCCCCTTAGTATTGATAAAATATTAGCAGCTAAAAAGAACCATATATTAAGTATATTATAATCTTTGGAAGATACACTGGGTGATTAAGAATGATCTACATAATTAATGGCGTGTACATAAACAAACAGTGAGTATTTATGCTTTGGAGATGCTTGTAGTATTAGTGGGATATATAACTCCAATATTATTCTTTTTCTGATGAAGTATGATCTCTTTCACGACCATCCTTATCCGATAACAAACCTCTAAAACCAATCAAAGAAAGACAACGTCAAAATTATATAAGCCACGTTATGCGCCTTTTTTTTGGATAGAGAACATTATGCTTTTTTAAATTCTCTTTTATTTGAGAGATGTAGAGACTGTCGTTTTACTCTTGAGGCTTTAAGAAAATTAAGTAGAAGCTTATATACTACGTATTAGATTGATCTCATAAACTAGAAAAGATTTTGTCTTATAATTTTGTTAACGCATTGATTCGATCAAGCACAACTCAATTTGACGAGATGGCTTGAAAGGGCCCCGTACTCATTTCAAGATACAACTATTTTCTTCAACATAACTACAAAAAAATTAATGTCTAGTCAACGAAGTTAGCTTTGGATTTTGATTAATTCAAAGGCTCAGTATGCTAATACCCTTTTCATTTATTTTATGGGGTTAATTGTCAAAGACCCCTATAGTATCACCTAATTGTAAATGAGCACCTTATAATTCTATTTGTTGCGAATAGACTTACTTTAGCTCTATTTGTTCTGAAGAGACCGTCCGAGTGATGTTTTCAGTCATAAAATCGTTAAAAATATTTTAGGAGGTGTATAGACCCCCTACTTTATGTTATTTAAAAAAAGCCAAAAAAGTTCGCTAAAAGGATATATTCGCACTTGGGTCAGTATTATATAAGGTCTGTTTGTAATAAATAGAACTTCATAGATTTTATTTGCAATTTGGTGATACCACGCAATTAATATTATTTTATATCACAATTCCAATAAATTTTTCTTTATCCTAAAAAAAATCCAGGTAAAAAGGGAGACTGGTAGGATGTGTACCAAACACGTGATGGACCAACCATAACGCCATAACCTATGTACAAAAACTTTTTTTGAAAAGAAAAAAACTCAAGCAAGATTCTCCAAGAAAAGGCTTTATTGCACTTAAATACCCTATAGTTTCCTCTATATTGCAACTTATATACCCTTACTTCTTTTTTGTTGTACTTATATACCCTAAAGTTTTTAAAATTTGTACTTTAATATCCTTAGCTATGCAAGTTTGAGAATTTTTCCCAAAATTTTTTTATGTGACACTCACATACCAATTTTAGAAAATTTAGATTTTAATATTTGTTAAATTTGCTGTTGAACCTATCAAAATCCTATTTTAGAGCAGAATCATGGTAGATATAAAATATGCTTATCGTTGTTTTAACATCATAGTTATCAAAAATTAAGGATTACAAACTGTTCAGTTATATCTGAGTGTCGCACTTAACATCTGAATAAACGAGAATATTAAAGTATAAATTTTAAAAACGTTAGGATATATAAATGCAAAAAAACAAATGAGTGTATGTAAGTGCTTAGTAGGTAAAACTATAGGGTATTTAAGTGCAATTAACCCTAGAAGGAAATACAAAAAAACATCTTAAGAAATCCTTGTTCCATATATAATTCACGTGCATGCGGTATTGTATCCAAATCCCCATGATTTTTTTTTCTTTCTTTCTTATATATATATAAACCGAAATATATTTCACCAAAAGTTAAACTATTCAATAAACAGAAAATCGAATTCAATGAAAACGACTTCATTTCCTGCATCAGATAGAATCCAATACTCAAACCCTTTTCTGCTATTGCCTGCTTAATCATTTAAAATAATAGACAATCAAGGTAATATACCTTGGGTAATACCCCTACCTCTTTCTTGCATTGTCTCATGTCGAGAGAGAGATGACCAAATTCAGTGCACATTTCATTAGAGAGGAGTGTAATTAGAAGCTCCTAATAATAATAATTATTATTAATACGTGATTTATTAAAAAAAAGTAAGAAAAGAGAGAGACAGCTAACCTTCCTTCGGATCCAATATAAAAGCTTTGAAGTCAAGAAACAAAACTCGTATTTCTTTCTTCCCATTTTACCCCTGCCATTAAATTTCTTCTCCTTTTCTTTCCTTTTCCTTCCTCTCTCCTCTCTCTTCAAATCTTCGAGAAGAGAGAAGAGAGAGAAGCATCTATATAATGTAACGAAAAGGCCCCAATTCTTTAATCTCGAAAAAAAAAATCATTTTTCTCCAAAATCCACAAATTTCTTGCGAACATACGCCCATAAAAGGTCTCCCCTTTCCCTTCGACTTCTCTACTCTTTCAACCGTAATCCTCAGATTTCCACCTTCATATTCCCAAATTACCCCTCATTCCATTATCAAGACTCGAGCTTTCATTGGAGAATTGAGCGAAGGCCATGTCCCCAGACCCAATTGAGCTTCCCTTGCCCGAGGAATTGCCTCAGGATTCGGGTGACTTGAGGTTTTCCAATCTGAGGGGGGTTCGTTGGCGGATTGACTTGAGGATTCTTCCATCTTCTCCTTCCTCTTCGATCGAGGAGCTTCGTCGTGTTGCTGCTGATTGCAGGAGGAGGTAAAATTTTTAATTTTTTTAAAGGAATTTGTCCTGCTTGGATTGTAAGTTGCAGCTGAGTTATATATCCATTTTGATTTTCTTTGTCCTGTTCTTTTTTGTTTTTAAAATTTCCTGCTTACTCTGATTAAATCCAAAGAGTTCTTTTCACCAAAGAGTATCCTTTTACTAGTTTCTCTCAGTTTCTGTGGTTGAAGCGTTTAAGTTGTTTCATCTTGTACTGACTTAGGATGAAATTAAGATTTTTTATGAGCCCTCATAGGATTACTGTACAATGAATGAAGAACTTATTTACGTGAAGTTTGAAGGGGTTTTCAACAAGTGATACATTTAGATTTCTAAGGAAAGAGAGCATGCACATCTTTGGAATTTAACTTTGATATACTGTTGATGTCTTTTTGTTGTTATTCCCTTTCCCATGCTTATTTTGGTATAAGACATTAAATTTTATCTTTTATTTGTTAACTTATATTATAAGTTTTGCCAAAGTTGCTGTGTTGCTTAAACCAATTTTTTTCTGAATGCAGAAATTGTGTTATTTGAGGAGTTGGGCTTAACCCATTTGTCTTTGTAATGCTTCAAATAAGTTTATATTTCAGATTTCTTGACTGAAAGGTTTGATTCTTATATAACAGATATGCGAGACTGAGACGTCTTCTTCTCATAGATCCTCATCTCCCTAAGGATGGAAGCAGATCGCCAGATCTTACCATGGACAACCCTTTATCACAAAATCCAGGTACTGTACTTATTCACTTATAGTTTCTGAACTTCAGTTTGGCTGGGGTTTTCGAGTTTGAGATGACATCCTTTAAAAAACCTGGTTTCTGGATTTTCAGCAGATCATGCATATGTGCTCTCATTGCGTCCCTTTTCTTTTTGGTTTTATGACTTCTTCTTCCACATTCACTTTTAGGCACCGTAAGTGGATCAATTGTATATTTGGAAACTACATGATCATGAATTGCAGTTGTCAGTTTGTAAATTGCAATGCTAAACATATACAGCGAGCTGCTATGGTCAACATATACAGCGAGCTGCTATGGTCTTGCATGCAATTAATCCCTTTTAAAACATTGTTACATGTAATTTATCATCCAGTTTTCTAGCTGTCATGTTGATCTTTTTCTATCATCTATGTAAATATTTGCAGATAGCACTTGGAGACGCTATTTCAAAAATGCCGAGTTAGAGAAGTTAGTTGACCAGGATTTATCGCGGTTGTACCCCGAACATGAGGACTACTTTCAGACACCTGCATGCCAGGCCATGTTAAGAAGAATATTGTTGGTGTGGTGTCTTCGGCACCAAGAGTATGGATATAGACAAGGTAAGCTGCCTATTGATCTGACATAGAAGTATCACATTTTTTGAAACAAGGATGTAGCAGATTGTATAGTTGATACTATTTAACAAAACAATGCATCAAATTTCATATATTTTGAGTGCCTTCTAGACAGAAGTTTCCAATTCTGAATCGATATCATGACTTTCATGCACAACATAACGGGGCTACATATAAATTGAAACTCTATTTAATGTTGGCTCAACTGAAAGTGCCTTGATTGGCTGTCAACCTGCCTTCCTAATGTAAACTAGTATCAAATAGCTGAGTAAGTTGACTATGGGCATGCTCATAACCCAGAGGTGATTGACTTGCACAGATGGGAGACAACCCACATTAAATTCCCCTGTTTTAGAGTCTGGACAGGTAGTTAAACTGAAATGCATCATCATGTTTATTATTTCATAATATGTAATGGACAAAATTTGCCTCATTCTATTAGTAGAGGAAAATTGATTGTCGATTTAAGATGTATAAGATATTTGGGTTGCTTATTTGACTTGGGAAAGCTCAATGGAGAAAATAATTTACAATGAACACACATAAGAATTGGGGTAAAATACTCTTTTTTAGTCACTGAATTTAAAAATTTTTTCCTCCCACCTTTACATCACCATCGAAGTTCACTTAAGTGTTTCTCATTTTGAAATAGGAATGCATGAACTATTGGCTCCTCTACTTTATGTCCTCCATGTTGATCTCCAGTACCTCTCTCAAGTCCGAGCACTCTATGAAGACTGCTTCAGTGATGAATTTGACGAGATGGGTTTTCCCGATGGCGACTTCACTTCCAACTACCGGTTCACAAAGTCTTCAAGCTGGGATTCTAGAACTGATGGTGATTTTCAAGAAAAAAACAACCACAAAGTCACCACCCTTGATGACCTTGATCCTGAGACGAAGGAATTGTTCTTGCTAAGTGATGCCTATGGAGCTGAAGGTGAGTTAGGTGTGATCCTCTCTGAACGGTTCCTAGAGCATGATGCTTACTGTATGTTTGATGGTTTGATGAGTGGGGCCCATGGAGTTGTTGCAATGGTCGACTTCTTCTCCCCATCCTCAGCCATTGGATCCAGCAATGCCTTACCTCCTGTAATTGAAGCTTCTTCATCTCTGTACCATCTGCTCTCTGCAGTGGACTCTTCTCTTCATGCCCATCTTATTGAGCTTGGTGTTGAGCCTCAGTATTTTGCACTCAGATGGCTTCGTGTTCTCTTTGGTCGGGAGTTCTCCCTTGATGACCTTTTGCTGATATGGGATGAACTTTTTTCTTCTTCTAATACTTCTTCCCTAGTGGATGATCTAGAGTACAACTTCAAAATCTTGTGCTCTCCTCGTGGAGCCTTGATTGCAGCGATGGCTGTATCGATGCTTCTTCATTTAAGATCTTCTTTGTTAGCCACAGAGAATGCCACCTCTTGCCTCCAGAGACTTCTCAACTTTCCACAGAATATAGATGTTAAGAAACTGATAGGAAAGGCAAAGTCTTGGCAGGCACTTGCTCTTGAGACCAACATCTTATCTCTATCACATAATAATTTGAAGCCAGAAGTTGGTAGGGTCCGCAGCTTTCCAACCAATGCAGGTTCATCTAGAACTCGAAACAAATCTGATAGTTATTGGGAAGAGAAGTGGAGAGTAATGCATAAAGAAATAACATCTCAGAATAATGGCGGTGATCTGGTTTCACATGGAAAGATAAAGAAATTGTTAGGCAATGGGTTTGGTTTAGCAAGGACAAAGTCAGATTCTTCAACAAGTAAAGAGGATTCTCAATCACCAACAGCTAAGTGTCGGGTTCTTGATGGTTTAACTGACATGAATCAGAAGACGGAATCTGATGGAGCTCCGGAACTTGCTAACGGAAATGAGTCTTCCTATCTGGAGGTTGATGGGGAGAAACTTTTAGCTGAGGAACCGAATGATCAATTCGTTACAGGGAGGATGTCCAACTCCACACTAGAGGAAACTTGCTTGAGTGAAGAGAACTCTTCTGTGTTCTCTACGGCTAATAACCCTCATAATATGGAAAATGATCATGATAATGATTCAGAAAAGAGTAGCATTAGTTCAAATTCTTCTGTTGCAGACAATGATGAAGATCCTAGTCATGTGGAAGATAATAGAGATTTGGAATCCATCTGCTCTACTAATACTACTGCTGCTGGCACACATGAAGTTGCACCCAACAACAACCGGGAAATGAAACAGAGAGTGGGGTTGAAGGATTGGAAACAATTATCTGGTAAGTTCCCATGGTTTTTAAAATTCAGGAGAGGCTCTGGTGAAGTGAACTCGGAGAAAGAGGCATTGAGTGTTGAAAGTGTTAGCGAAGGAGTTCCTGGCGATTCAAATTCAGACTGCAAGAGCTGTGGAGATAGTGGGAGGATGGGAGTTGGAGATAAGAAAGTGATAGGTACTTTGAAGAATCTCAGGCAATCCATGCTTGAAAATATTCAGGTATAGAACAATGTTGATTACTTTTATATGCTAATATATATTTCTTGTGTAAGTTGCATTACTTGTTCTACTTTTTAAGGTAAATTTCACAAACCCTCAAAACTCCAAAGAGTCAGATAACCTCCCGAAACTTACTTTTCCCAAAACTTTTATATGTTAATATTAATTGTTGGCATTAGCAGCTGATGTTTACTTTGCTAATCTAGAACCCAAATAAGAAAAATCCCTATAATTTAAACTAGCAAATTTATTTATTACTTTGGTGTGCAGGTGATTGAGTCAGTATTCCAGCAAGAACGGACGCAGGCTGGTAACGTTCTTGGGGGCAAAGGGCAAGCCACGGCAATGGCAGCCCTCAAGGAGCTCAGGAAAATTAGCAACATATTATCCGAGATGTGAGGTTAGCTGTGTAGTTAATTTTAGTACCCACATTGTAATCTACGTTTTGTAAGTATACTGTCATTTTAAAAAATAAATGATATGGGTGTGCTTTGCAATCTTTTACTAGCCAGTTTTCCATATGCTCGTTTACTTTAAAGTTCAATGTTATAATAAAATCATTTCTTTAACATGCTAACTAGTTTCTTGTAATCCTATCAAAGTTGTTAATAAGTCTTATATTTACAAGGACCTCAGCAGTTAGCTTACTGAATATTTTGTACAAGGACTTGGCCAAGAAGACCTCATGGATGATCCATTAGATTTATTATTATCTTGGGAATGTTGTGGATGTGCATAGACGGATAACATCCAGAGAAACTTGTGCAGAAATATACGCTTTCGTCGTTTTTTTGGAGTCAAGGACAAAAGGTTCCACAGTCCTAACTTCCATTATTTGAGAAGACAACCTATACTAATGTCCTTAAACAGAAGAGATAATCATAAACACAACCATGTTTACACTTGTATGAGCCTTTCGCTCCTAATCTTGTAACTTTGTTTTTGGTACAAACTTTTGAGAGAAACATGTTTCTACTCTATAATGCTGTGGAATCTTAATGATCATTGCTGAAGAGACAAAGTTCTGCTTATTATTGATGTCGCTGGATCTGGATCGGCAACAAGGCACAGGTTTGCTGATAACAGATAGCAAAGTTGCTGCTTCAACTGGCCAATTCCTGGCTTGATTTCTTGTTCTCCGTGGGCAACGAGAGTGATACAAAGTGGTTACTTTTGGTTTCTGAGCATACTCAGAGCTTGTTTGGCGACTGCCCTGATCAAAGTGGCTTATAAGCCACTAAGACATATTTGGCAAACAGCTTATTTTAGCTTATAAGCCACCAAAAGCTAAGTTGGAACCCAACTAGTTTTTGGTGGCTTGTAAGCCGTCTAGTTTAATTGATTAAAAGAACAGTATACCTCTTATCTTTCAATTCCAAGCCTTATTTCTCTATTTCAAACCCCCATAGAGCCATGTCCATTGTAGTCATTTTGAAACAAGAATGGATTATAAATCACTTATTTGCTAAATACTTTACAATTAAGAATGGATCATAATCCACTAAATTTATAAAACACTTTGGATTATAATCCACCAATCTTATAAGCCATTTGTAGATTACAAGTCAAGTGGATTATAATCCGTAGTTCCCAATTGTGCTCATCATCTGATACTAGTATTGTGGCATGCATGTGGGCCTCTGTTTTTAGGCTGCCAAACAAAAAAAAAAAAATTCAGAGATTATTATAATATAAATAGTTGATTACACCTCATGCATCAATAGTTCTACCTACGATGATAAGATTAATATGGATTTTCTGTAATATTTATTGGATATTTCGTCAATCGTCTGTAGAGAGGACTGAGGAGAAGGAAGTCAAGAACTTCTGATGAGGAAATTCCTACAAGTTCAATGATCGATGAATCACTAGTGTCCTCCATCTTGATCCATGTGCTTGTAAATATATGCAGATAGAGAATCATCTACTCTCAGTTTGCTTGAAATGTAGTGAAGAGACTGCTCATTCTGCAAAGCTTAAATGAAATGCATAAACTTTCTCGCTGTACTGGTTTTGTGATGTGTATATTAAGAGCAATGATATGCGTATGTATATTGTTTTTCTTGGCTCTCAACGGTTTTCCAATCCCTCAATACAACTGAATACAACGCAACATTCTCAAGATATCTTTCAGTATGAAAATACAACCGAATACAAGAGACAAACGTTTTAAAAATAAAGAAAGAGAAAAGCATATTTAAAAAAAGAATGACTCAATGCATATTTACTATTTACGATGAAACAAATATTTGCAACCAGACGAAGAAAATTCAGCTGGACGTTGTTGGAGTTATAACTTAAAAACTTGGGTTTGTAGAGGAAAAGAGGAAAAGTTTAGTCCCATATAGGAAATGGAATAGGAAGGAAGAGTCTTTATAAGCCTTCCCTTTCTCTCCTATGCCTAGAAGAAAACAAAAGGTTATGCTTCACACCACACACGCGCGCGCTGGCCGGGCCGGGCTCGGGCTCGGGTCGGGTGGCGCGCGCACACGACCTGCGGACACGAATGCAGCTCCGGATTAATGGGCCCTTAATATGCTAACATTTTTATTTTTACTAATTGGAACTGTTTAAAACGTGATTAACATTTTTAAAATGATTAACGGCCAGAATTAATTGGAGAGATTTATGAACTTTAAAACTGAATAAAAACGTAAATGAAACGGTAATATTCATGAGAATTAAAACAGAATCAAAACGGAAAAATGGTTTTTATGAGGATTTAATTCGGTATTGAAAAACGTTCATTCTCAACCTCTATATAAACAGCAAGCTGCGAGGGTAGAAAACACAGTGTGAAAAACACAAAATTCTCCTCTTCCTTCTCAGCTCTGTTCTTCTTCTTACACTTGCTTGCTATTACAACTTGCTGGTTCCCTGAAAGTCTAGGAGAGTTCGCAAAGCCTTCTTGAAGCTCGTGCCGACGAGAAGGAGGTCGCCTGACCGAGGGTCGTCGTATCTCCGAGATCTATTGCCGCGTAGCCCTGTACGAGAGGGGGCAATTAGTTTCTTGGGACAGTGCTTTGCACGCTTCGATCATCAGGCCGTATTTCTAACTCTGTTTCTTTTTCATTTGATATATTTCTTATATTTGTGTTATAATAGTGATTATCTGTTAATTATTAAATTGCTTAAACTGATTTTCGTTATTGTCTAAACAGCTTATATTCCCAACAGACGTAACTGCAGTTACAACTACCTCAGTTGTAGACTACCAAATGGCTTGTAATCTGCCCGCACGTACCAAAATTTTGCAGAAATATCCCCATATTATACTTTGGATAGTCATCAACTAGTTCAAGTTTTCTGCTTAGATCTTGTCATCACAACTCCTTTGCTTTTGTGCTAACACAAATGATTACAAGAAAACGTTATTTTCATATCACTTAAAAGAACTAGTCAAAAAAAAAAAAAAATCCTTTGGTGTTAAAAAGAGACACATTTGGTTTATTTTGTTACATCAAACAAAACACTTTAAAAGTATCCAATAAATACAAATGGCTTTCGTTAATTAAAATAAAAGTTCCAAGTGAATAAAGCAAATCAATAATAATATAATAAATGGCCGTAGACCACGAGAGGCTCCAGATACAAGTTGGAGGGCGGGGTCTTTGTTAAAATGGAAAATAAAAAAAAGGGCGTAATCGCACTTACATATCCTATAGATTCCCGTGCTTCGCCCTTATACACCCTCTCTAGTTTTTGTCGGCAGTAATATATCCTAAAGTTTTCACAACTTGCACTTATGCATCCTAACTTTTTTAGCAGCACTTATATACCCCAGGGCCGGCCCTGGGCCTGGGCAGGGGGGGCGACGGCCCAGTGCCCCAAACATAGGGGGCCTCCAATTTATATAGATATCTTTAGTAGTAATATGTAATGTCCAGCAGCCCGTTAGCATTTGTTTTTTGATTACTGGGCTTGGAGTACTTAATTAGGTGAGGGGCTGAGGGCCCATTTAATACTCCGTATATGAGTATATTATATGACCGTTTATATCATAATTGCTTTGCCTTTGCTGTAGGAGTAATTGCTGAGGGCCCATGTAATTGCCTCATTTTTTATTTTCGCCAAGGGCCACCAAAATCCCAGGGCCGGCGCTGACCCAAAGGTTTTAAAATTTGCACTTAAGTACTCTAAAATTTTCAAAACTGATTTTTACGTGCCCTAAAATTTTCAAAACTGATTTTTACGTGCCCTAAAATTTTCAAAACATGTGCTTAAATTCCTCTAGTTTGCATAATGGACGTATTGAAGTGCAGTTTTTAATAGGTTAGGGTAAGTAAGTGCTAGTTTTGAAAACTTTAGGGCATATAACTGCCGCCATAAAAAAGTAAGGGTATATAAGTGCAGCAAAAAAATGAAAGTATATAAGTGTGAGTTTAAAATTTTTTTAAGGTATATAAATGCTATAAAAAACAAGTGAGGGTATATAATAAGTGCAAACTGGGGAAAACTATGGAAATTAAAAAACATCGTTTTAAGCGGAGGCACCAAAAGCCCAGTGTGTCTACCTTTAACGTAATGGGCCATTTTAAGTGGGCTTTATGGTGGGCTTCTCTTTTAACTCGTTTTCGAGTTGAAAACCATTTAATTTGGGTCAAAACCCAGCTAGCATCTGGCTCTCTTCTCTCCCGATCCCGATCCCTGAATCTCTCTTGATCGCAATCTCTCATCGAAGCCCTCGAAATCAGTAAAATCAACAGGCTGATCTCGCGCCGCCGCAGAACTCGTCGTCGGTGCAGATGACTGCAACGGAGACGGCGACGTCGATCTTCTCCTACGAGAGGTGAATTTGTATGTGTAATTGTCAAATTTTAGCTCAATTCAAAGTTTTTACTAAATCTCTCATCATCCGCGTACAAAAATTTGCAGTGAAATATCGATCAATATAAGTTAATACAGTTTTACATATGATACATATGGTTGTTGATGCAGTGAGTAATTCCCTGTGTAAATGTAGATTTCATTATAATGCTATTTTCAACAGATTAATGTTGTATGTAATCAAAATTTTAGTTTTTTTTCCCGTCTGGGGCAATAAAGTGGATGATTTCACCAAGATGGCTCTCAAAGTTCAGAATCAAGTCGAGATTTTTTTTGGTCAACGATACATATCATCATAAGAGAACAAACTACTGGGTTATATTTGAACATCAAAGAGTGCCCTTTTATGTTACTTCGGAAATCGCATTATGAATCCAGTACAATTGTGTTTACTAACTACTAGTTCAGTTATGAGCTGAAGTATACAATTCTGTTGGATATCATAATGATAAGTACTAAATCATAAATCAGGTACCCTTAACACCTCAGTGCACAAACTCTGATGCTCCTGGAAACTTGACGGACACACCATACCGTATTGAGAGAAGTTAAGCAATGATTTGGCATTTTTATTGCTTATTGAGCAAATTGGTGGTGTTAGTCCTTTTCCTGTTTTTTTATTTACTCACTTCACTTTCTACGTTGATCCATATGGTGTTATGTTCGAATTTGTAGGACCTTTGAATTCCGTGGAAAATGACTGCCAATATTGACCCACCTTGTTATTTCTTGGATTAATTGGTTATTCTTCACATTGCAGTTAGTGTCCAATGGAAGACAAATGGAAGATGCCTCAGAAACAGATCCTATTCTTCCTCAGTCAAACATCACTTGCAGTTCCAATGAGCCTTTAACTTTATGTGAAATCAAACAAGTGGGTGTTGATGATGACTGTCAAAGCATTGATGATGACGAATGTTGCAATCTAGTGAATGCAGAGCAACCACAGTGTCGGATTTGCCTTGACAGTGAAGGTTATCTCTTGTCACTGTTGGTATATTATTTTCCATCTGAGAATTTGTTTATGGATAAGTTCTAGATAGACAGATATACTAAAAGACAACATCTTTCATGTAGGCGAGGATCTGATTGCGCCCTGCTATTGTAGGGGCACACAGAAATATGTACATAGGTCCTGCCTTGACAATTGGAGATCAACCAAGGTATAGTTTGATGACCTGATCTTAGAAAATTCATTATTTAAAAGTGGACCCTGATAGAACTGGATTTACGATCTTCCCCGGACACGATATTGTAGTGGAGTATACATGTACTATGTAGATACACATAATTTGTGTGTACATTATTATGCTTATGCTTTATTTTGCAATTGCAGAAATGAGCTTAACATCTAATTGTTTCTTCTTCTGTCAGGAAGGTTTTGCCTTTTCACATTGTACAGAGTGCAAAGCTGTGTTCCTATTGCGCGCAAATGTACCTCCAGATCGCTGGTGGTTGAGGCTGAAATTTCAGCTTCTTGTTGTCAGGGATCATGTGCTCATATTCTTTGTTGTTCAGCTGGTAAGAACATTCTTCTAAAATCTATTTTCTGCCTGAAGATAACACTTGATGAAACTCTCTCTTCCAATTCCAAGGAGATGCATGCTGCCTAAGTATCACATGATGTAATTTGGATTTGCCAGCATAGGAAAACATGTGAACACATGATATGTTCAAAAAGGTAGTGTGGATCATAGCCAGACTCTGTTAGACTTCCCATAACCTTTATTTAAGGTGTCTGAGGTTTGTTTTGAAAGGATGGCGAACTACCAGTTCCAATAAAACTGCCGAGTAGCCAATTAGTGAGTATTACATTGTTTTTATATGAACTAGATTTGCCTGATGATCGCTCACTGAGGCCAATGTGATGGATTCACTAGTTGCAAGTAAACCATATATGCCAGCAAGCTCCTATTATTTGACATCGCATGGCACTTCAATTAGTGTTTTATTCTGTTTTCGCCATCTACAACTAGTGTTTGCAGTTCACCTCCATTGTTAACTTTAATAAGGGTCTTTCAAACTAAAAACTTACAAAATATTACGACGACTGAACAATTAGTTAAAGGTGGAAAAGCGGATATTTTTATCTTAGAATTTTATTTTATTTTCTCAGATAAGGGATGAAATACATGTTTTGTTACGAGGGAAGAGTATCTTTTTTTTAATGTATATCAGACAGTAAGTTAGTGCAAGGCAAATGGTTAATAGTGTAATCTTAGAATTATGTTTATTTTGCTGGCACATATTTTGCTTCTGTGCACTTTGGGACTCAAGTTAGCATGTTGCTTCATGATATTTACACCCCCACCGCACCAAAAAAATAAAGCTAAAAAATGCCACAAACTTCTGTATATGCACTTCCTTTTCTATATATTTGCTCTTTCCCCGATATTTTGCATGTATTGATTACAGATACCTGTATATCTTATTCGTTTGTTTGGTGTGGCTTTATAACTATTTACAGAGCCATATGTAATGAGCTTTATGTTTGCATCTGTTCCATGTTGAATGCCTTCAACAGGTTGTGGCTTTCCTGGGAATACTTATCTACAAATACTATGGTGAGGAGCTGCGGGAAATGTTTGGTTATGAACAGCACCCGTATGGTTTTTATTCAATGGCCAGTACGTTCTCTGTTAACTCGTCTTCTATATATACATTCAACCTTAGCAAATTGACTGATGATTAATTTCCTATATAATATAATATTTACGCTCTACACACTGTGTTTCTTAGGATAATTTTGCCAAGTCTTATGGATTTTTCCATTCAAAATACAAATGACTTAGAGGATGTCAATTAAAATATTGATCAATGGTCATTCACTTTGTCAATGTTGTCCTTTAATTACATATAGTAGGTACTTTGGAGACTCCATCATCATTAAGCCCTTTTCTCGGTAGACTTTTGTCAATTTTGGCTTAGTTTAGCATCCCCTAGAGGCTGCAAGTCTAAACTTAAGGAGGTTGGCTAAGTGAAGGATATTATGGTTATTCACTCATCAAGTTGCTAGGCTAATTAAGAAATGCTCGAGGCAGCACCAGTATTTATTTTAACTGTCTGAAATAACCAAATCTTTTTAGGAAAAGGATAAGCATAACCTTCTAGCTCGACTTGGCTGTAGCGATGATGATGACACAATGTTGATTCGTAGCTAACGAAGGGAAATTGCTTGTTCCTAGCTTTATATTCTATCTTTTCAGGAGAAAGAAAATGATCTTCAGCATTATGCTCCTAGTGACTGGAAGGACACTTCGTTCTTAAAAAACCCTTTAATTCTAATGATCACAGATATCAAATTAACTAGCAATGGTGCACGTTATTTTACTCTTTATCCAAGATTCTATGGTAGATAACTGATTTTCTTGGGTTTACTCAACTGATGGGCAATAAATATCTGACATTTTGTAAAGTAGCTCATGGTTTCCTTACATATAATGTTGAGGCAGTTTATTAAAGACTGTGCCTGATTCCAGCCTGAAACTTCAGTGGCCAGGAAAATTTCTATACCAAATGAAAGAAGATAGTAGAACTGAGATACTTCCTGCATTGCCAGAGGGAAAAAGCTTTCCATGGCATTGCTTTCTCATAGTCATATCCTAGACCTCATTAAATAATGATGGTGGGATCATGTTGTATTGGTTGTGAATGAGATTATGATGGTGTAGATTTCATTTTTATTTATCCTCAAGTTAGCTATGGTTGATTCATGTGAAAACAGTAAAATATGCCAAAAATGTGTAAATACTGCCTCACTGTAGGAGCATAGCATGACCCGACCTTGCTTGTTCTTGACTTTTATTTCTTGGAAAAAAAAGATATCACATCTGTTAGGTTTACTTGACAAGTCGTCATTGATCTCTTTTGAGCTGGTTTGTAAATTTGATTGAAACAACAGTGCCACACGTTTTTGTGATTAATTCAGCTCATAGTTCACAAATTTATCTAATTTCAAATTTATCTAATTAATGTAACTTATCCTATGTGAATATATTAAAAATTAAGAAGGTACCAAACAGAACATCTTCATGTTTTTAGATGTGCGAGAGCAATCAATTTTGATTTTGGTTGTCTCATGTTATTTTATTAGCATTCATGGTTGTGAATAAGTTGTTGGTATTTGTTAATCTGAATGAGTTTAATTTAGTCTCTGAATAGGTTTTTCAAGTTGTCGTAGAAAAAAATGGGACAGTTATTTAAGGTTTACATAAGTCCTTCACCCTCTTATTGTTTAATTTGTTATACTAATTGTTTAACTGTTCAGTCTTGGCTATTATTCTGGTGGGCTTGCTCTATGGATTCTTCATAGCAATAATCTGTGGACAGAAGATCAACGAACGCCATTACCATGTTCTGGCAAAACAAGAACTGACAAAGGTTCGTTGCATGTTAAATGAAACTTAATGCATCTATCTTGAAGCTGCTTTCTTACGTCCTGGAGATGAACTAGTGGATTCCGAGAGTTGCTTATAGTTATGTTAAACCTTTGGAATTTCACCATCCATGTCTTACTTTAGGTAAATAAAGGAAATTCCTTATTTATTTACTATTAACAAGCAAGGACGAAAAAACTGAAGCTAGTGCATGAAATGAAGTCAATTTCATCTATGTTGGCCACTGTTTTATCATGACTAAGACATTTGGTAAGAACTTAAACAAAAAATCCAAATCAAATCATGAATGTAGGTCTGAAGAAAGCTGAACTCGCTTAGGTCGAATCTGGAACTCTTTAGTCTTTAAGCGATGTTTATTATATTGCACATAACAAATTCTTGTCAGTAGCTAATTATAGAATGCAAGCTTTTCAGTTAATGATCATTTTAAGTATAAACCGCATCTGACACTTATGATGCCAGGAATATGTAGTGGAAAGCCGAGATGAGGACAAGAATTTGCCTGAGCTTGACCCTAGTCATGTGACAGAGTTGAGAACTTTGGGGCTTTATTAAGCTGGAAAATCCATCTTAATGCGTGTATTCTGGGTGAGGATATTCTTCCCATTTTCGCTCATCTCTTCTCGATATGTTAAAGCTCCTAAACGTTTGGCCTTTGTTATATTCATAGTGTGGCAAGCACAATGCTCCTCAGTTGTCTTCTCCTGTCAAGTTCAACCACGGCGCCAACGTGAAGGTCGAAGTTGCAGTTTTTTCCTTAAACAAGCAAAGTGATGCTATTTATCTCCATTCTTGACGTTACAGAAAGTTCAATGTTCTTGCGCCCAGATTATTTTCCTCCTCAGCGTGTGATGATGCATCCTGTGTATCAGCACCAATAACGAAAGGGCGCAACTAATAGGGTGTAGAAGAGCTGGTTTGTGTGCACTCTTGCTTGTTCTACAGAATTTGGCATGCAAAAGTCATGGGATTTTCATTGGTCTGTAAAACTCACTATTGTGCTTAATTTATAGTCATAAATAATGGAATTTTTGTTGCCTACATTGTGAAACTGATTTGTGCTGGCTAAAGAATGGGATCTATGCTATTATCCAAACTGATGTGGATTTGAATCAGACACAGGTAACTCTCTTAAACATGAATAATTGTTGGCAAAATTTAGTCTTCATATTAGATAAAGAAGAATTCAAACTAAAGAAGAATTCAAACTTGTATCAGATACAGATAACTCTCTTAAACATGAATAATTGTTGGCAAAATTCGAAAGAAATCCAACCTGCAATTCTTGCTGTTATAAGCAAGACAATTATACAAAAGAATAGGCATTGTGATTATGCAAACTTGAACCAGATACAGCCAACTCTCTTCAAAATGAAACAGAACGCTCTCGGCATAGTAATATGGTTGTACAGTTCTTTCAGTGCTCATTAGAGTATTTCGGAGAGCTTATAATTTTCCTATTTCATATGAAAAAGTATGCATATTTGCATCTTTCTGTCATAAAATGCAGATTCAAGATTAATAGTATCTGCTTGCATTCGCTACAACCCCCAAATGGCCAGGCGGTTGGAAAACTACGCCTGGGTTGCAAAATTACATTCCTACATCCCCAAATCATTTATCACCTAGAAATCAGAAGATCACATTAGTAAAATAAGTACATAGAATTTTGCAGTATCTGAGTGTACAACAGAATATGCATCACCACAACAGACTTTATGAAATCTTTTGACCACAAGAATACCAGGCAAGATCAAGTAGCCAACAGGACTGCTGCTATAGTTTCTCATGATCAATAAAATTATGCTCCCTACATTTGGCTTTGTCATGTTTCATTCTCTGCATTTGTTAAAAGATTACAACTGTACATACAGAGCTTTTTCCTGTTAATATAACAAGGCCCTTGAGAAACAACATATTGGAACACAACAGTAGTGATAGTGATTTCGATAAAGCAAAGCAGTATGGAAACTGACTCCTCAACCTCAACTCTGCCCGCTCCCTCTTTCTCAGGATGAAACTCTTTCACTCATCATCATCAGATTGTGTTGCAGCCTTCTTTGACTCTTTCTTCGCCCGAATTCCTGCATTTAAACAGATAATGTGCTGAACTTGAATCCAAATAAATAAATAAATAAATACAAATACTCTCATGCAGTCAATCAGAGTTGATGAAGTTGATGATGTTAATGAATGAAGACAAGTTACCAAAGTGAAAACCATCGAACCCATTTATTTCTAGCATCGCGACGCAGGCAACAAGGTAAACGAATCATTTAACATAGTAAAAGGTTGTGCAGTTATTGACCTACAAAATAGAACAGTGCACAAGAAGCCTACCCTTTGCCAACTCTTACCATAGATATTTGAGAAGCTTCAAGGGAGTTGAACCCAACATGGCACAGTAGAAAAAGAGATTGTGATTGTTTACCAATACATGCCTCGGTTCTCCAGCTTGACACTTTCAACCGTGCAAAGTTGAGAAAAGGATTTACATAGACAGATTAATACAAAAGAATGACATATGATATAGTTAAGCATCTAAATATGGTTCATAGCATCCTCCTCTATTCTTTTTATAGATAGGTACATGCTCCAGCAGGTAGTAACTTTTACCTATTAGCTTTGTTTCCTACATCAAATCCAGGATTACATGCCCACACAGCAATCAATTTGGGTGTGTTTGTTCCTAGCAAATAGGCTCGTCAGCATACAGTAATTTGCTTAAACAATGTGTGATAATGTCATGTGTCCGGGTATAGCACATGGTGTTTTAGATGCAATATGCTGCATGATGTTAAATGCATAATTTCTCAACTATGATGACACCCAAAGCTGAGAAGGAGCCATTAAAGCCTTTCACTCTCGCCTCTACTTCAAACCAAACCACCACCACCGCCCCCGCCCCCCCTAAAAAAAAAAAAAAAATATATATATATATATATATATATATATATATATATATATAATAGTACTATATATACTATGAGAAAAAGGGGGGGGGGGGGGGGGTAAGCTTGGTACGAACACGCAATTTTGTGGCTTGTAGTGATGTGTCAGCATCCTCATCCACATCACAATACGCTATGTGAATGTTGTCTCATATTTGAATGAGTGAGATTAATGGGTATCATATGTCCATATCGAGAGGATTCCCCTCATATACAATTGATTGGGCACAATCTCCCAGTGAAAAAGTAGGAGAGAGAATGCCTTATTAAATACACTTGGTGACGATTGTGCGCACATCATTGTATATAGAGAATCCCTCATATGACGATATGGATACCCCATTAATGCTCTCTCTCTGTCTCTCTCTGCTCTCTCTATATTATAATATTATATATATATATATATATATCATATTCAAGCCAAACCAGACTCAATTCCCACCATCAACGCATTTGTTAGTTCTCTTGTTTTGATGATGATTTACAAACATCATTATTGGTGCTAATTGCTTGATTGAGTGATATTGTGTAGATTGTATTTTGCCAAACAAGATAGTGCTAACAATTGGAGGATTGGACGGAATATGAGCTACAATGATGATATCCAATGAGGTGGAGGCGAGTTGATGAAGAAAAGCTTTCAAGAACAACATATACAAAAGAAACTTCATCAACATTTGAGCAAATATCAAGACCAAAAGATTTGTATTCATATGTATGAGATATTTGCATTTTTATTTCTCTCTAGAGCTTAATGTAGACAAGTTATTACGTAGATAACATTTAAAGCGATTGGGGTTCACACATACACACTTATAAAAATAAGTACTTAACCATTTTTGAAAAATGAGTAGTTTTTACAATTGGAAAATGATTTTTTGAAAATTCCTTTTCTAACATGTTCATATTTATGTTTATAAGAATTTCCCAAAGTTTCATATTTTTGGATTTTATTTGTTATTTTTAAAGGCACTTCAAAACTCATTTTCATAACTGAACAGTGTCTGTGCACGTTTATCAGTCGACTAATGCTTATTATCAGTCGATCGATGAAACGCACTGGAAAGAACAGAAGTTTCTGCTCAGTCGACTGATGAACCATCAGTCGACTGACGTAGGTTATCAGTCGACTGATGAGTTCATCAGTCGACCGATAGCAGATGAGCGGCTTGTAACGGTCAGCTCATCAGTCAACTGATGAACAGTATCAATCGACTGATAGCACTGTTAACGGCTAGTTTTTGTTTGAGCTAAAAATCCGGGATTTGATGATTTGTTTGGGATTTGGGCTATTGTTTGGGGCTTCTATATATACCATTTGACCCTCTTCTCTCAGTAATATAGTAAGCAAAGAAAAATCCCTAAGTTTTGTTTCCAAAGTGTTCTTGAGCTCAAACTTCAAATCTTCACTCTCAATTGTTTCTAAGTTTTCGGTTTCTCAATTCCACATCTCATAAACCCCTAAGCTTGATTTGTTTATCTCTTGATTCTTATCATAGGATTGTTGTGAAAGATTTTCTTTTATTTTATCTTGTGATTGTGTGATGAGATTGATCTCAATGAGATCGTTGTGAGAGTTGTAAGATCTCGTGGGGAGATCGTTGTGAAGAAGTTTCGGCTTTCAAACCTGGTGTGATAATGAAGTTACCATCGAGAGAGGTGGTCAGGGACGTAGGTCGGAGGACCAAACCTCGTGAACATATCGCTGTGTCATTTTGGATAATTATTCTCTAACTTTCCTCCTTATTTATTGCCATAGCATTTAATTTGTGTCTTGTGTTGTATTGAATTTTATTTATTGCACATTTATTGTTTTATTACCCTATTCACCCCCTCTAGGGTAATTTCAGCATTAAGAAGTGAATTTAAGCAAAATAATATCATTATATGAGTAGGTTTCGGCCCATAAAACATGCATCAACCTACAAGGGCATGTTAGAGAGTATAAAATTGAAACCCTCAACCTCATTACAGCATTAGACATGGTTTTGAAGGTGAGGAGAGTGGAGGGACAAAAATTAGATTTGCCTTTAGTAGGGTTTTGTTAGGGGGGTAGAGTAGGGGAGAGGAAGAGAGAGGAGTGGAGGAAGGGGACACCACAAAATGTACTAAAAAGTTAGGGAGATACGAATCCCTCCAAATTGAGAGGATCCAAGAGGAGAGAAAATGAACTACAAAAACATGCATCTCTGCCCCCTCCCCTCTAACCAAACATAAAGGCCCAAATTCTACTTCATGGCATCTCCCCTCACTTCACCTTCCTTCTTCAAACCCCCTACCAAACTAAGCCTTAAGAGTTTCGGTGCAGAAGAAGGGACCTCTAACACGGGCAAAATGTTTTGACATCTATAGGAAAGTAAGTCTTAAACATCACAAAGAATCTACCGAGTAAATGCACAAGTATTTTATATTAAAAAAATATTATACAAAAATACTTCATAAATACTTACCTAGAAGTATTTAAAATGCAAAATTCACAGCACCAAGGGCCACCCTTTTCTTCTAGAACCAGCACTCATGGCCAACATTAGTCCATTACTAATATCATCGTCCTTCCTATCAACAACTCCACCACCACCATATCCAATGTTGTTCCCTCCACCACCACCATCTCTACCTACTATTAACACCTTACCTAGACCTTTGGAAAAACCCATATTAATGTGCAACCTTGGCCGTCACCTCATATTGCCTCCTCAGAAGACAGTGTCACTCTAGCCCTAAAAATTTAGAACAAACCCCTAATCAGTAGCCCTCCTTGACCACATAATCTTTTTCCTCATACATGGGACATCGCTTCCTCCCTTGTCTATACTACTACCCTTCATTATCACCTTATAACCTTAAGCACCACCTTCTCCACCATTTGTTGGGCAATGGATATTTTTTTAACATGTTTAGTCAAGAAAAACCTTACCCAAAAATTAATTGAGCCATATGAACATAAAACTAATTGATTATTATGTGAAAAAGATGAAGGTTAAAGAGAGTCCTGTGATATGCATGCCTATTTGGGGGAAACCTTTCTACTTAAAGAAGACAAAATTGAAAGAAAAAATCATAGCACAAAAGAATTATCCAAAAACCATCCAATGTACATAGCTAGCATGTCGGATTTATCCATAAATGCAACAACCACTATCATAAACACATGAGCCCTCGTCTCAACATATATAGCAATATCGTCTTTAATGACTACTACAATAAGAAAAAATTTAGTGTCGGTTTTTTATGCGAGCTATTAGTAGTGGCGGTTGAATTGCTCTTCCTTTTAATTATTTCCATGATGCTCTTCACTCTATCATACAATTTCTAAATACATTGATATTTTCGTATATGTGACACATGATCTTTAATTGCCAAGGCACCTAGCATATACCTTTCCTATATCAATAAAATCATTTGCTTCATCTCCTCCTTTTGAAATCCATCAGGAGTTCGATCTGCTCTAACTTCAAATCAATTCAATTTTGAAAACCCATCTGATCTTTTATTTTCCCAATCTTCAATCAATTGCTTTCTTCTAACATCCAATATAAATCACACGTCAGATCGAACAATGACTTATACACCTTTTCATCTTTCATCTTTCATCTTCATGATTTGTACATTTCATGTCTCATCTACTGGAGATAAGATCCTTCTCCACCAAGATCGAGCCCGCAAGATTGTAAGCTCCAATGCCCCAAGATCCATAGCGAAAACAATTGTGAAATCACATAGGTGCAACACACAATTTAGTG